GTTCCTATTATTCGGGAAAATATACGTAATCCCCCTGGAAGGAGGATGCAAAAAAATTTTCGCGAGACGAAACGTGAAATTGAGTGGTTCCTAAAAACGAGCAACCAACCAGCCCCTCCCCCCTCGTCGACGCTTCTGTTTCTTTTACCCATCGACATCGACTGGAAATTTTGCAGACCCGGCAGGGGTGGTGATTGGATTAACTTCTCGAAGAAGGGCGAAGCAACGATAACGACAGAAGGCGGATTCCTCGAATAAAGTTGCTTCCCCAGCAAAGATCGTAGCGAACGATCACTTGGAAAATTTTCAACGTGTATCCCCGTCGTTCCGCGTATATATAAACGGAATACGAATAATTCCCATTTTTCTATACCAATTAAGACCGATTCTAATCCAATAAGACCTTTCTTCTTCTTCTTTATTCGTGTTATTACTTTACGATCGTTTGATCCTTCGGCCTTGATTAATTCTTACAAATTCTCGATAAGATGCGATAAATTAATCCATCATCGCGATAACGATCTTCATTATCATCATCACGACACGGCGAATATCTTCGACTCATTTTCTTCTGTTCACGCAAATCCTTCGCTCTCCACCCATTTGTCTACATAACTAGACCCGAGGAGAGCATTCTCTCTTTACAAAATTCGAGGAAAATGTCGGAGCGAGCGTTTTTCGTCGTCGTACAATCGTCTCGTACGAGGAGCAAACGGACCAACAGTGCCGTAGTGGAAGGTGTAGAGAGGCACGAACTCGAAAAGGACCTCGTCTCGGCGAAAGGGGATGAAGATGAGAGGACGACGACGCGGAGGAGAGGAGGGAAAACGTAACGACCGTATTCGACCCAAGCGCACGCGATCGCGCGACGGCTAGCGACGACTTTGGATCCAGCTTTTATTGATATTTGAACGCCGATATTCGAACACACAAGGCGGACCATCATCGTCCACCTATCTCGGGATCGCGTTCGATGATCGCGATAACAATAAAGGTTTATTCGTATACAGTTATCTCCGCGTGATAGAGGCAAACAGGTGCAAACAGTTACAAAATAGTTGGTGCGCGGCATTACGCCCGATACAACATGAAATAACGTTACTTTTACCCGTTCCCCGACGATACTTAACGGCTCGATATTCCGGGAGAATATCCGGGTCTTTCTTTCTATTCGTCTTGATGACGAATTATTCCTCCTTGGTTTTCCTTCGAGACGAACGACGAACGATTTATTTTTATCGTTGGAATTTAAAACTTTTTCTCGATTATTACGTAATAATAATATAGAGAAATAATAGTCGATATGACGAGATAAAACTCTATCGTGATCTCGATTGCCTCGTTGTAACAGAGGAGAGATATTGGTACGTGCCGATCGCGGCCTTCGAATTGAAAATTACACCTATCGCTCGATTATAAAATTTTTTACCTCTACAATTATCCACAATTATGATTTTACGATAAGGTTATAAGAGTATTATTATATATAGAAAAAAGAGTTGCGTATCGGATAATAATTCAAGTGATAATCGTACGCTTTATTTTTAACGGATTAGTATTCAAGGTGAATGATTATAGGCAATAAAACGAAGAGAACAATTAAAGAAATAAAATATTAGAAAGAATTGGTCTGGTCAATTCCGCTCTCAATGAATATCCCCATCGTCCATGATATTCAATAGACGTCCTTGGTAATAAGTGGATAATTCGCTGTGTAAATGTATGAGATTTATTTACAGCGATGTAACAATTAAATCACTTCTCTCTTCGAGTTTTTTAAACCTTCGAATATAAAACCTTCCGATAGATAGATAGATAGATAGATCTCGAAAGAAAAGATTCAGCTATCTCAATTTTTTCCCTCCTCCTTCTTCTCCTTCTCCTCTTTTCCTTTTCTTTCCTTTTCTCCTCGATCGATGATTCGATTACGCGTATATCGCGGCGTTCTGATAATAATATTTATATTATTTTTCTTTTCTTTTCCTTGTATCTTTCAATTTCTCGATATCTACGAAAATCTGTTATTTTCAAACGGAAATTCCTCTTTGTTATCGCATTTTAAAAATTGCGTCGTATATTCAGTCGGTCCAAAGCCTTATATTCGAAAGACCATGTTGCAATGTCAATAAATCGAAAGGATTGTAAATTTCCTACATGCACGGCAATATAATTTTTCATTGTGCAGTGTCGGTAATATACCGCAACAACAGATATAAAAACATGACCGATAAAAACTGTGATATTTCTTTTCTTGCCTCGATTAATACCAACGTTGCCCGATGGAATAACCAACAATTTCCTTCGTTCAACGAAAGTCGATTTTCAAGGTAATCAATCAATCTTTGAATGTTAAAAATCGCTTATAGGCATTATATAATAAATAACCATAATTGTTAAATTAAGTTCGCGTGTTAATCGATTAACATCACGGACAATTTATATTTTTAACGATTCATCGACATCGTACGATGAGAAAGAGAGTGAGAGAGGGAGAGAAAAATATTTAGATCCGTGTATGCGTATAAACGCTGTAACAAATGCAAGGCTATCGCAAGTTAAATAATGCGTGGCATTTATAGTGTATTATATAACGACGATGTGTAACGTCTGATATTCATGTTCGCCACGGTATGGATTCAAGATCATGGATGTCACGTCATGTACGTTTTCATTTTGGCGTGGAAAAATATCTCGCGTAGAAATTCACGCGTACACGTTCACAAGTAATTAAATCCATGGGAATTTTTTGTTCAAACTTGTTGAAACGAATAAATCGACGTATCATCCTTTCGAATTATTTTAATACTGTTACTATGCGAGTCGCGAATTAGTTAGAACCGATGGAATCGATGAAGAAAAATTTTGACGATAATTTTTCCAATTTCTCGAAACGGTTTACGTTCGGTTGGAATTGGAATTTTCGACCGAATCACACCGGATGAACGCGATTCGCGGCAAGTGATCGTTGAATAATGTAAATTGAAAAGTGGACGGTTCTATTTAATCGGCTAATGTAAATAAATCGGCTAGACTGCGATTGATACGAATCGGTTGTATAATTTTAATCATGTGCGTTCGCGATTTAGGCCAATCGAATGCATATTTGGTATTGGCCTTATCGGCTCGTTTTCTTCCTAGAACGAATAAAAATAGTCGGAACAAATATAACATTTTGCGTACGTTTAACATATTTAAACATCTATTACCGCGTGCATATATTATATATATATATATATAAAAATCTACTTCCTAGATAGATTATCAAAAGACTTTGCTTAAAGTTATTACTTTTTTATCGCTGCGATACAAACGCTAATAACACAATTTCTTTTCGTCTTGACGCGTTTTTTATTATTTGACAAACAATCGAAGAAAACAATCACTCGACGTTCGAGCAATAATATCGAAATCTCTCAAATATTATATTTTTCCTCTGAAAACCACTTCTTAGTTCAATTATCGCAATCGTCGCGATGATAATATTCTAAATTATTTAAAATTTTTAACACAATATTACGCTTGTTTTATCAATTCGAGTATTTGCTCTGTCAAAATGTATGCACCATCGAAGATGATTGATTGCAAACACAAATACTACACGGAAATAAGAAGGAGGAATTAATCCGATGATCGTGCAAAAATTCTCGAGAGGAAAAATATTAATTGTATTAATTGTGTGTCTAAATATGTCTGGTCATTTGTTATTACGAAAATGTTGTTATTACGTTTTTCATGACAATGATAATAGCAGGCACTGTCACTCCAGAAGATTATCCGAGACTTGACTTTTTTTTCAAACGCGATCGAAGTATTTGTTGTCGGATTATGTAAACGCTTCGAGCTTTGGCGCCGATATTGTCTAAATAATCTGAATAATAATGACATCGTCGTAACATTAAAGAAACCTCGTGAATCCTTTTTTTCTTCTTCTTCTTCTTCTTCTTCTTCTTCTTCTTCTTCTTCTTTTTTTCCCCTTGCAAACTACTTGCCAAACGATCAAAATTACAACGCACGATTATATTCCATTTATTCGAAATTAATCGTGAAATGGATTTATTTCAAGGTCGCGAAGCTAAGTTAATTTTATCTTTTATCTTTAATCGATAACTTTTCATTACGAATCGAGGAAACGGAGGCAATGTCGCCAATGATAAAGATGGACGATTCTTGCATAAAAATGACTCACGGTTATTACAATCAATCCATTGAAATTCCGTGTATTGAAGCTCAGTGTCGTCGTTTCAAAACTTGCTTTATAACGATATCGGAATGCAAATCATAAGCGAACCACGATGAAAACGCTGATAACTCGTAACTCATAATAAATCCGATATAAATTATGAAAGATATGGGAAAATATTTGTTCAGTAACGATAAACGAAACGCCGATTTATTATCATTGAGTAGATAATGGCGAATAGTGTTTCGATTCGACATTTTCAAAAGATCTCATCGTAGTCGCATATATCCAAAAAATATTTATTCTTTGTTCCAATAATTGGTCAGCGATATATATCTTATTTGCCATTGGAGTTAAGAGACGCGACAGATAATCACAGTTGGTAAAATTGGACGTTCGGATTGCCGAACAATCGCAAACACTGATTATTCGTAGCTGGCGCGTAACGCTCGACAAGTTGGAGTAAATAATATAACTGTATCAAATATAACTGGCATATAGGTATTAGAAAACACGCTTCTTTATGGAAAAATAAATTTCGTGTATCCTCGGTGATTGCTATCGAAGAACATTTTAACGATAGGATACATCCGCGGAGGAGGAGGGGAGGGGAGTACTCTAATCGGAGTATAAATAATGTGTGGACGTCTGCATAAAACGTGACACGTCGATTCCGTGTGGCTCATTCCGTATCAGACGTCCACGGTGGCAGTGTGAAGTTGAAATTATTCTTTCTTTTGTGTACAATTTCCTCCGTATCTCTCGCAGGTTAGTGACGATGAAGCAACATTTTCTCGTTCCATTTCCGCGTATATTAATCCGCGTACCCGGATAAATTCATTGTCAACGATTCATTAGTGTTAGGAAGAAAATTAACGCGGAAAAAGTATTGTTAATCCGCCGCGCCTCGTTCCCTCTTCGCGCCCGTTGTGCCGCTCTCGAATAAAACCGTTCTCACAATGGCTAATCATTTAATAGTAATTTAATAAGTGATTGTATAATTTAGTGGTTCCATCGAAGAGGATTATTATTTATCCCGAAATTATTCCGAAGAAATTGGAAATTGATCGAGGTGAAAGGTGGCTCTACCTTCGGTTACTCAATAAAAAAACAATTAGATTCCGTTCGTAGATCGAGCGTAATTCATCGTTAATTTACATCAATTTACGCACTTTAACGTTGTATCTAATTTTGTATTCTAATTTCGAGTAAAATGATTGAAATGGCGTAAAATGATCACGCGTCACGGTCCATCGGGAATCTGATTGAAACGAGATTGATAAACGAGGATCGTTAATCTCTCTTGACTCTACTGGCTCGCGAATATTTAATACACAACTCGCTTTAAATTATTATTCGTTTGCCACAATTATTACATATATATATAATGTATATAACATACAACTAAATGACCGAACGTTTGATCGTTTCAATTAAGCGAAACTTTTTTTTATTGCTTCACGCTTCGTTCCAAGGCTCCGGTTAGCTTTTTATGGGCCTAGACAACGGTTCGAACCGAATAACGGTTGAAGAAAAAAAACGTTTGACAAGACAAATATGAGTAATGCAACAGTAGATAACAAGCAAGAACCGGATTTTTAAAAGAGGGACATCACAATCACTTGCCCTCGATTTCTTCGCTCCTCTCCACGAGAATAATCAACAGTGCGATTCATTCTAATTGTAAGTGCCCTCCCGTGATCTAAAATGCGTTCGATAACCTCGATAGTGGACACGTTTACGGCTCAATCTTTCGCGACTTATCGATTCGAAAGAAATCCTGTATTTTTCCAAACATGTCCGAACGTTCCTCGTTCTCTCTTCCATCTTCCTCCCGTCCTATCAATCGTTCCAACCGATTCGTTAAAACTCAAGTTGAACATCCGTTTAAAATCCCTCCCCCTTTCCATCCTCTCGCCATTAAAAAAAAAAAAAGAAAAAATGGAAAAGAGTTCCCTCGCACTTTCGATTCAAATCTTTCCGCCGTTCTCGCTTCCCACGAAAATTTCCCTTCTCCGACGATCGTCCTTGTTCGAGACGGAAAGAGAAAAAAGACGCGTTCCTTCCTTTCCCGTTCCCAGAGGAGATACGAGTCGTAAATTTCTTTAAAATACCGCGTTTCGAATCTCGAATCTCGAATCTCGAATCTCGAATCTCGAATCTGGAGCGATGAAACGTGGCGCCGAAAAAAGGAAGTGAGAAGGCGGAAGGAAAAGAAAAACGCCTCGTTCCATTACGTTTCTAATTGAAACAGAGATCTCGAAAACGCGAGAAACGATTCCCGTGAATATCAAAGAATCGAAGGGGATCGGGAGGAAAGAAGACGAATCTGTGAAGATAATACCTCTGTGTGTGTGTGTGTGTGTGTGTGTGTGTGTGTGTGTGTGTGTGTGTGTGTGTCGAGAGTAAGGGAGAGAAAAGAGAAAGAGGTAGAAACGTCGAAAGGAAATGAAGGAAAGGGACAGGGAAGGAAAAGAAGAGGGTGATAAATCTGACGGCGAAGAATAAGTTTGCTATAAAGAATCGGTTCCCTGGCGCGCGTACTTGACGAAGACGCGACGATTTATTCCGTGGAAATTCTCCAATTTGGATTCTCCAATTTTTCAGAGAAAAATGGTCGATAAATTGGAATGGTTAAATAACGAATTCGTGCAAAGGATCCTCCAGTACAACGAGTACGACACCAGCATCAATGTAACGAATATATCGGTGAAACCGGCGACCAGCAAAGGTGACAATTATGCCAGCGATATGTATAGGGTGACCGTGAAATACACGCAGAAGGAGGGCAAGACCAGGGTCAATAAGGAGACGTCGATTGTGTGCAAGTTCGAGCCGTTGGAGGAGGACTTACGAAAGGAAGCGGTAAATATTTTTACGGGGCAATTTCAAAAACGATCTACCTTCGACCGAGTGGAGTCGAGGCTTTCTAATTAATCGAACTCTTGTAGACATCTTGAAAAAAAAAAAAAAAAAAATAGTCAAAATATAGAACAATCGCATATGCACAACAATTGGTACGTGACTTGTATATCTTACGGCAGATATTTCTGAACGTTTTGTAAGATCATGTCAATGGGTATCTTCGAGAACGAAATCTTCATGATGTCGAATTCCCTACGAAAGATGCAAAAAATGTTGGGCACTCGGCTGGGAGCAAATGTACTTTACTTTAGAATGGAACGGCCGATTTGTTTGATATTAGAAGACCTTTCTCGTCTAGGATTTCGTATGGCCGATCGTTTCCGTGGTTTAGATTTCGATCATTCCAAGCTAACTCTTCAAAGCTTAGGCAAATTTCACGCAGCGTCGGTCGCACTGTGCGAAAAGGTAATTTCTTCTTCGTTATATGATACGTGACGAAATATTTCTATGCGTAATTATTCCATCTTTTCCAACGTTTTCTTTTTCTTTTTTGTAGGAACCCAAGCTAAAGACTCTATACCAAAAAGGGATACTGTACGAAGGAATGCCGACCGAATTCAAAGTCTTCTTCGTCTCCGCGATTAAAGCTCTTGGAGATGATTTGGCAAATTGGCCGCAAGACGTGAAAAGGTGAAGCATATCGAATCGATATAATAATCACGAACGCGAATAAGTGAAATTAGGATTACTTCGACGTTTCATTTCTTTTTCTTCTTTTTTTTTTTTTCCAATTTCACGTGATCTCCATATATATATATATATATCACAGGTATCAGAATAAAGTTAAGAAATTCGCCGAAGTTGTTTACGATCGTGGTTTAGCGGCATTGCAACGAAACGACGACGAGTTCAACGTTATTAATCACGGTGATTCCTGGACGAACAATATGATGTATCGATACGATGAGAATTCAAAGCCTATCCAGCACGTGTTTGTAAGTATTCGATATCTTGCGTCGAACTCGTAAACAATCTAATCAATTTCTCATTCAAAGAAATAGAATCAAATTCTATCCTTAAATTATGCGTTCTTGAAACGTTATGCATCGTGAATAATGCAATAAAATCCGACTCGATCGATAATTATCCGCGTCTCTCGAGTCGAAGGACAAAGCTTCGATGATTTCACGAATCCGCGCTCTATTCTTTCTTTTCGCTCAGATTCCATTTCCAATTCCGTTTCGCGTTTCCAGTTTACACGGATCGATGTTCCAGGTGGATTTCCAAATGTCTATCTACACTTCACCGGCGATCGACCTGCTCTACTTTTTAAACGCGACCGTCCAAAACGAAGTGAATGCCGAGAGTCTGATCGAGGAATACGTAAATACGTTGACCACCACCATGAAGAGGCTAGGTTGCAAAACGACACCACCTACGATAAAAGATATAAAAAAATATATGAGAGAAAGGATAGCGTGGGGGATGTTGGCCGCGACTACCGTATTACCGTTCACCCTGATGGATAAATCCCAGGTGGTGAGTATCGACGAACTGATCAAGAAAAACGACACGTTTGATTATCCCGGGACCAAGAATCCGATGTATCGGAAGGTAATGGCCGAGAGATTAGCGAAATTCGAGGAAGCAGGCGTGTTTGATTAATTCGATATGGATTAAAAGAGTTGTGCTGTTTAAAACTAATTTCAAGAAAGAATCAATCGTATACGATGCAACAATTCTCTCTCGTAAATGATATATACGCTCTCGTAACGATATACTACGAAAATATTTAAATTTAATTAATAAGATACGTTGATACGTAACGCGAGAAAACGTTTCACGATCTATTATCTTACGAATTCGTTGATTATTCTCTTCTCTTTGTAAATTAAATTTGATAATTGCATATATTTATTTCACATCGTTTACATGAAAACAATACTCTAGAAATTATATGCTATACTCTTCGGAGTAATCTTCGTATCGAATGAGAGCAAAAGATGAAACAAGAGAAAGAGAGAGAGAGAGGTTCAACTAACCGCGCACAATAATTTTGAATATATTCAACATTATAGAATTACACGTAGCGTAATTACCGATTAATCAAACGATTAATTAGAACAAAATAATTTCGATTCGCTAACGAGGTTATAGGTTATTTCTTATAATTTAATCGAATTTCGATGTATAATACTTTAGCTAGAAACTCACGAAACCAAAGTTCAATATGTTTCGTAGGCGGCGTAGAGAGTAAAAATCTTAGATTTAATATCCACGTGTATGTTTGTTCACGCATATCACGAATATATTTTATATTCACGTTCTTCGCCTACCAGACGTCCACCAATCGATGGTACAAATTTAGCAAATTATTATATATATTGTATATTATAAGAACCATTTATAATTAACAAGGTATTAACACCCAAGATCCATGTGATTGATAACCAATTTTCGTTACTTGTATTTACTAATTTTCAACGTAAAAAATAAATTTATTTCTTACGTAGACAATTGTTCTCGCAAGTATTGTATTGTTAAATATGAAAAGAAACGAGGAAAACAAAAAAAAAAAAAAGAAGAAAAAAAAAAAAGAATAACGAATAAAAGACGAACGAACAAAGCACAAACTTTGTTAATTTTTTGCTTTATCTCAAAAAGAAAAAAATAATACCGTCTCTCTCGTCTAAATTATGAGATTAAGTCTTCAATGAACCTTGCCCCATTTTTCCCTCCTCTATTATTCACACCGTCATTCGAAACGAACGAGTCGTTGTGCTTAACACGCGTAAATCTTGGCCGGACACAACGGGATAAAGATTTAGGAGCGAATCGCGTTTTCGCGTCGCGAAAACGAAATGTGTCACGGTGTTTTGAATAAATGTACGCGTCACACGTTTCCTCCCGCAGTATACCGGATTTCGGCGCGAACAAAGAAAAGGCTGGACGATGAAATTGCCGTTCAACATACGTCCCGCGCCTCGCATACCTATTTTATGGATTAATTGCATAGTTCCACGGAGATGGCGCGGGACTGACGGGCCAATCTGTGGCCGAAACCGGGGGAACGGAAACACGGGTGAGAAAAATATGATATATTCACGGTATCACGGAGAAAATCGTTTATAATTTTCGGTAGAACGTTAACGTGATTAAAAAAAAAAAAAGAAAAAGAAAAAAAACGTGACTCTTGAAAATATTTTCGAGAAAAAGGACGAAACGGAGAGGAGGATCCGATAATTGCAAATTATTTTCGGGAAAAATTGTTATCCGAAACGAGGTTTAAATGAAGTTTAACATGGAGCATTGTTAAAAATGGACGATCGGTGTACGTTTGAAAGGCATAATTAATCGACGGTGTGAAACGACAATATGAATAATAATTATCGTTGTACGATGGTGTGGTAGAAAAATTGAAATTATATCCCGAAAATTATACCCGGCTCGCCTCGAAATTTTCAATATTTGCTTCGTTGCCAAATTAACGAACGATTTAATTCGATGCGGACGATGACACGCGTGCTCTCTTCTGTTATTCGAACGAGGAGGAGGTTTCGTATATCGATTTCATGGAGGGACACGCGATACACATGTCAAAGCGGACAACGTAACGAGCTTGATTCAAAGGATGATTCGTACAAATCACCGGCCGTTTGTACGGTGAAGCGATGGCAAAATCACTTATTTCAAACTCGAGCTCGGAGGGAAGTTCTTCAAACCGTTCAACGAGAGGAGAGTCGAGAATGATTCGGCGTATTCGACAACGTATCAAAGCGATTCTCCGCCCGCTTTCGAGATTCGACGAGTATCTCGCGCAATAATAATTACCGAAAGTACTTTCCAATTTCTCTCGGGCGTCGATCATCGACATCGATCGATTCCATCGGATTTCGTCCAAACTCAAGATTTCCCTCCCACGCCTTCACCTTCCACGCGGAATCGCGAGAGATTATCGAGGGTAGCCCTCGACGATTTAACCCGAGGCAGGGGTTATCGACCTCCCCCTCCCCCATCGAGCTGCCAGAGATATTACACCCACGCGTGTGAAAACGCATAGATTCCACCACCGCGGCCAAGCATCATGGAGAACGCGATTAACTCTGAAAGCTAATTAATATCTTCCAAGCCCGGGACACGCGTTTCGCCTTTCAATTAAACCGAACTTGTGTTTGACCGTGAGCATATTTATGCACAAGCGTGTACGTGACGCGAAACAAACGATCGAATTAATCACCAGATCTCATCACGTATCTCCGATACGTTATATATATATATATATAAACAGAGATTATTCGCGGATTCTATCTTTTAGATCCAAGAAACATCTAGTTTTCTAATCATATCTTGTTATAGAAAAGAAGAAAAGAAAAAAGAAAATGAATCGTTGTATTCATCCAATTATCAATATCGTATTATATCGTAGCAACCGATAAGAGTATTATAAATTTGTCCTTAACAAAAGATATTTATTTTCGAGTGGATGATTAATCGATATTTGTCAATCGATGCTTCAATCGATGCTGCCATGCGATGATTTTGCATTTTTCCAAAGCCGAAATAAAAATAATCGTAATATACTATTTCTTCTTCTTTCGTTTCCATTCCTCTTCTTTTCTTCCCTTTTTCTTCCCTTTCTTTCTTCTTCCTTTGCATTATTATCTTGCGTACGTAATTGTGCGGTTTCGAAGGGACAGGGGGAAGGGAGAAGTGAATTCCAGAGATACAACGTCGAGATGTACGTACACCCATTATCTCGTCTCCACGAATACCACGAATGTTTCGTGGAAAATTTCCATCTCCGCCAAAGGATCCAATTAAGAGGTATTTTTCGTGTTTTTCTTTTCTTTTTACTTAGATCGACGACGATGATTCCAACTCGATTTATAGATAGTAACCAAATCATTTTCCACGGACGACAGATATCGGCCGGCAATAATCGATAGGAGAGGTTGGAGAGAGAAGTTGGTGCCTCCTATAGGCCGAGGCCGATAGCGAGGAGACGGCAGACATATTGTCCAATAGTGTAAGTAATAGGCAATTTCGATAACAAATAAGTTGCTGCGGCAATATCATTAGTCAACGTCCTTCCGTCTTGCTATGCATCGATAAAATGACACCCCCGGCCGCGATCAGTCATGTCTCTCGTCGCGGTTCCGCCACGTAAAACGTGAAATCTCCGCGAGGAAATTTTATTAGCCGTTTTACCATGAATTAATTTCCATCACAAATCATCGCACGATGAATCGGTAGCCGGCCGATTCATAATACCAACGATAATACACCGTGACACGCGCTACTCCATTTTGCGACTACTCCATTTTTCTTCTTTTTCGAAACGCGTTTCAAACTTCAACTTCGAGAGAGAGAGAGAGAGAGAAAGAGAGAAAAATCGAGAAATGAGATTCCAGCGGACCGGCCGGACTGGAGAATTTTAAGAACTCTCCGTAGATAAAAAGATATTTCCTGAACGCGAAAAGGCAGAAGATTCACGTTCAAAGCGATGGAACTTTGCAAAAAAAAAAAAAAAAAAAAAAGAAAGAAAAAAGAAAACTTGGTTCTTTCGCAAAGTTCACTATTTAACCCTTTCCGCGATGGAAAGTCCGCGAGGTTTAGTGAAGCGGGAAATTAATAGAAAAGAAAAAAGAAAAAAAAAGAAAGTCGGGGAGGGTGACGAGTTATCCAAGATAGGGATGAAATGGGAAGGGAGGAGGAAGGAGAGAAGTGGAAAATTACTGCCATTCCTATGAAATTGAAGCCACCTCCCCCCCTTCGTCCGCCAACAACCCAGTATCTTTTCGCAACCTCGTATATTCTCGAGGCCTTTGTCTCGAGGAACTGACGCGGTATCACGCGTATAAAAGTAATATCTGGTATCCGAATACACCATATTCAAACGAGTTCTTCGCGTTTAAGTTATAACGCCGTACGTACGTTCGTTCACGTACAGATCGGAGAAACAAGAACGAGGAGGGGTGCTGCGTTTGTATTCCGCGTCTTCTACGCGAGATTGTCAGGCACAGAGGGTTGATAAACACCCCTACCGTCCCTCCGTTTCGCACCAAGGTATCTCGACGATCCTCCACACACACTCGGTCCCAGTGTTTCTCGCGGTATTCACAAACTACTCGGACACCGTCTGCCAACTTTGCGAGCCGTGGACCGGCGATGCTCTGATAGGAGGGAATAATAGCGACGGCATGACGCGATGAGGATCGAGCGCGTTTTACAACGCGTGTCCACCGCATCGTCCACTGTTATTTCCCTCCCTCCCTCTCATATCTTTTGTCGATATCGCTTCGCGTTTTTCGTTTCGTTTCGCGTCACGTACGTTAAAGCGACGAAGTTAAAGCGATACGTTCGACGGGAAATTGAACGAAGGAAGGAAACCCGGAACGTATCTGTCGACGATTCTAATCTCGCGGCGTACGTGTAACGTATGGGCGAGCGTTAAAAATAATTATTTATTTTCTATCATTTTCAATCCATGGTCCGTAATATGCACATTCGTTTTCAAACGATCCTCCATTGACCGATTCGATTATAATCAAGGGAAATCGGCGTCGTTACACGAGCACACACACACGCGATCGGGCCATCGTCCGCGAGGCACTGATTTCGGGGGCGTAGTAGGATGGATGGCTGCGAACAGGACAGCCAACGGGGAATGGCACGAGGGACAGGGGAGAATAAATAAACGCCATAATTCACGTTCAACAGTTACGAACGGTTCAATTCGCAATTGGAACCGGTCCAACCGGCGGGATGCGATATAAACGAAACGTGAGGGAGGGAGAAGGTAGAGAGTTTAGAGAAGCGATGAGGAAGAGAGAGAGAGAGAGAGAGAGAGAGAGGTTGACGAGAGGGGTGGTGAAAGAGGGTGGTAGGCGGAATTACACGGTTAAGGGACAAACAGCTCGTCGCTACTGTATATACGACGACGACGACGACGACGACGACGACGACGACGACGACGAACGTCCGTTGAAATTAATTTAAAAGGCAGTATTTCCCGCCGCGGGTCTCACACCTGCATAATCTCGCCTCCCACACTCGCTATTCCACCACCGTTCTTCATCCACGACCCTCTTCACGGCCCACCTCGTTCCCGGTTGAAAATAAGTGGATTACGTTAACTTGATAAAGCGAGGATCACGTTTTATCGGGTTAAAGAAAACCCTTTCCATCCCTCCCACTTCCTCCATCCCTTTTCTCCATTTCCACTTCCGTCTCCTCGCCTTTTAATCCTTTTTCCCTCGACGTTTCGCGCGCCACGATCCACCGAGCATTCTTATTCCTCCTCTTCCTTCTCCTCCACTTCCTCCTCCCCGCACACACAGTTTCAGCCTAGTTTCGCTGTCGCATTTGCGAACTTCCCTCGCGGATCCATACGTTCCCCGCTTTATCTAATTTGGCTTAAACGCGTTAAGTCTGTCTTCGCGCTAGTTCCGCGCTAGTACGTACGCGGGGGTACACGCGTGTTTCCCCACAACTTTCAATCGAATTAAACAACGAGACGGGCGCGCATATTTCGTTCGAGTTGCGCCGTTAATGTTTAATTGGCCTGTTATCTCTGGTGGCCGCCACGCGTTTGTCGGGGCGGGGAATCTTCGCCTCCCGCGAGATACTCCTC